GCGAAACCTACAGGATTATTTGCAAAATTGAAATATTATTTGAAACGCTACTGGTATATCGCTATTCCAATACACATTGCAAACTGTATCATTTGGTTTATTGTCCTTTATATCGCTGTCCAAAGGTTGGTTCCCCTTTTTATTTACTCTCTAGGAGTATTTAAGACTAAATTCAAAAAACTGAAATTAGTTATTAGTAAATTAGATTAGTGATTTCGAAAAATTTCAGCGGTCTTGATGTTGTTGCATTGCTGGAGAAGTGCCATGTACCTAATTATATTGTTCATAGAGTAAAATCGGTTCCTTCGAACGCAGGAGTTGCTGTTGTGGCCTTTCTACTCTACAAGGTGTGAGGTTTAACTGCCTATCTTTAAACATACCAAGAAGGGAGAGAGCGTTAGATAGTTAAGGCTAGGCAGTCGTGGATGAATATCTTAATTCGACGGCTGTTGTAAAATGTTTCTTTCAAAAGATCCATGTACAGTCGTGTACGGCGTGTAGTCGCATCGGAACTGGAAGATATTTTATTTGTATAATTAGACACGCTTGTGAGCAGAAGGATTTTTAAAATAAGAATTTGAGTTGCAACATTTTACTGTACTACATCGCATACCAAAGTAAATTCAATGTGAAAATTACTAGTGAGAGCTCAATTCGGTCCTGTTTCAGATCGTTATTCCCCTTCGTTATGCTACAACTCTGTTGTTAATACAGCTTAGTTTCCCCGTTCTTCGACGACTGGGTATAATGACAGTAAAGGAAGTAAAATATAAGATGCGATTGAAATATACGAACAAAGTGAAAAAAATAAAACGTCGCTACCAACTAAAGTTTAACCGAGCGGGGTCACTCGGAAATAAAAAACGGCAGAATATCAGCGGATTTAAAAAGTCCTAGTGAAATTCGTCGATTGCGAACGCAGTGATATTACATTGTCATTTGTTATATGGTTTTGACATCTTGTGACCTAATATATTGGGTACTGTCGATCTTTTATGGTTCACCCGCTAAGGATAGGAATGCAAATCTCCAGGACTTTTTGATTTGCGAGTTTTTATAATTACATTATTGAAGAGATTCTTTCCATAAAATTTTAATGAGCTTGAGCTTTAAGACATTAAATGTCTTGTGTTGTTACTTCCCGAAAAGTTATATCCTCTATTTCAAAAGTGTGCATGCGGTATTTTTTGGACGTATTTGAAACAATGTGTTTAAACTGATATGGCTGCGGCTTGCTAGGTTTCCAAGACGAGGTAAATGCATCATTGGGCTGCTTGCAAAGTATTTGTGTTTGCTTGAACAAAATGATTTTTACGTACTACGAAAGGTTACTATTTATAACTCGTTTCTGTAATTTGCAACTGTCGCGGCTCGTTCTGTAATTGTATTTATCCATTTTTTCAATCTGTGAATTAGAAATCTAAGACTTGATGAAGAGGACTAAGGCGGATGTTTACAAGGGCTTAGAAGTTAGACTCTTGGAGGGTGGAATGGTCGATTAAGATACTAAGCAGTCAGAATTACTAGACCTATAATTAAAAAGTATGATGTAAGGATACCAATTCAAAAATATATGAATTGGGAGTGATACAAATTTACACGAGTAATGCTCGTATTAAATGGGAATGAAGATTTCTTTAAATGTTCCAAAAATTTTGTAATAACGTGGTTGCAGGTGATTATCCAGTTCACCGTTTACTGTAGATTGATGAAGCATGAGGGACTGTAAGGCAAAAACAGGTTCAGCGCCTCTGAAGCCAAACAGTTGTTTCCAAGCCTATAGAACAACCAGATTTATTGCTGCAAATGTCAGGGAAAATATGCCTGATAAATTTTTTTTTTGCGTTAGAAGTGTTTAAGGCATATATTGCCTCGAATAAACGCAAAGAAAAATAAAATTATAAATGTGATATACATATAAGGTGCTATCACTATGCCTAGAACTATACTCTAGAACTATGTGTTTGTTCTTTAGAACTATGTTTTTTTTAGTAGAACTATGTGTTCTTTGTTAGCAAAAGAGCCCTACACCAATGTTCGTTAACAAAGCGCTTTATCCATGCAATCGTTGAACGCGAAAGATACATAAATATATATCCTTCACACAGCAAAATAACATTGTTATTAGTCTTCAAATTGGTGTCTCTAAACTTATGATGTGTTTTTGGAGTTTAACTTTACGTGTTAGTTTGTGTTTTGCAACTCTTGATTATGTGACGTTAATGTTGTTTCTTTTATTTAACTGTTTGATTACCTAAGTTTAAGATGGAAATAAAGAATTTGCAATTCTGTATCACGTTGCTCAAGGAACTCATAAAAATACAAAAAAATTTTTACCACTTTATGGTGCCACGACCCGGAGAACTCAACCGGACGGAGTCATGGATTTGCGGTAAGTCAATTTGAAAATTCTAAAACCGAAGAAAAGTGTCTAGATCTCTGTGTCGGTCCGCAGTACTCACCAAAGAGCGTTTGCAGCGATTACTGAAAAAAGTACCAGAAATTGTGGGGTTTTCCGAAGATGTCTACTAATGAAAGAAGAGCCTACTACGAGGAACTTCTCTGCTGACTGCAATATACAACTAGACCCATCACTTCTGTTGTGAATAATTAACAAAAAAGTTCGACTGTTATACCACACAAAGATATGAGGCATCTGAAATGATCGGTGTTCAAAAGTCTGGTGGCGCTAGGATCTAGATCATTCCGTCACATGTCGTGCTGAGGTTAAAGTGGTTAGATGAAATCGACGTATTTTTTGTGTTTAGGCGTCCGTCGATAATTCACTGCGTAGTGGGTCGTACACGTGCAACGTCACACTGGCATCTTGTCATTGGTTTTAAACACATCCTCGAAGGCATTTGGTCATTTTGGGGGATAGTTATAAGATGGATGATAGAAAATAGTTCACTGTTGAGCGCTACGAAAGCATTTCCTGTCGAGTGCGCAAATTCAATAGAATAGCCTGAACCTAAAGATCTCCCTTGAGGAAGAGCATTGTGAACTTAGGAAACTTGATCGCTGAATACACACTATAACAAAAAAGTTCGACTGTTGGAACTGAGGACCTGTATGCGTATGCGGGTGAGTGACTTTATGTGAACCAAAATTGAGAAGAGTCGGGAATTTATGAGGCTTCCAAATCATATGTTGGAGGCATGGAACTCAGATGCAAAAAACAGGCTTAAAACTTTCACTTATAACGAAGCACTTTTAAATCGAAGCGGGGTAAAACTGAACTGACATCTAAAAATGAATTGCCAAAATTTGCCCATCGAATCTTGATTGTGTTAAGTGTTCAGTGACCATGACACATAAGTTTCTACCTCGCACTAGATCTATTAGAAATATATGATCATGAAATGTGCATAAGGAAATCTTTGAAACATGACACACTGTTACAGAGAATTTCACATGAGTCTACTCCCTGTAGTATAGTAGTCAATTTCTTCGCTTTTTCGAACGTGCCGTTGTGTTCCGCAGTTGCAGTCAAACCCCCAATATGCTTTTGGCTTCTATTTCCACTGAAAAATGCTGAATTGCAACCTGCATTGTAAAATATCCTTTTTATAATTTTAATGATTAAGGACGCGTTAAAGTTTTAATACACTTATCAGATTAGGCCTAAACATATGGACGAAAATGGAGAAGGCTAAGTATTCGAATTTTACGAACATTGGATAAAAAATATTCAGTGTATTGACTTTGATGAAGCCACTGTATAAATATGTTTATGTCAAGAACATCTCAGTACAGAAAGGATGCAAGAACATGCAACAAGCATACACAGAAAAATTCCCAAACTGAATTGGCATATAATAATATCAAGCATAGGTTTTAGTTTTTAATCCAACAGATTCTTCAGCTTCACGCTGCGTATACGCCGATTCTCGTAATCGCTTTAATCGTTGTCGATGAACTAGAAATCATTTTCATTCAAATGGTCTCGACTTCTAAAGTCAGAAAGAAAACCACTCAGCAGGAAATATGTGATAAAAACTTTATAAAAGATTGAAAGCAGCAATACCTTTAGTTGATGTGTGACTGTTGAGAGATTTCTCATCGATGAAATATCGATCACATTCAGTACAGTAGAACTTCCCACCGCCTGAACAAATCTTGAAAATAGCACGTGTGAAATATTAGCCGGTGAAGATTGACTTATCATTTTTCTCAAAAGGGTGCAGTGGGGAATCAGAGGTATGAAAGCGGAGGGTCCCACGGTTTTCGTAATGTGCTCAAGTTCTATTTCTACTTTTCACCAATAAAATCTGAAGATATGAGCAACAAAAATGATGAAAGAGCTAGTATGGGGGGATCACCTGGCAGATCGAGATCGAAATCTACTTGCTGAGTTGTGAAATATCGTCGCTTCTCTGACCTCATCGCCTCAATAATCTCGTCCATGTCTTTCCCCTTTCTCTTCCTTGTTTTATTCGAAGTTGTGTGTTTTTTCGGCATCCTGTAAGAGGATAGGAGACGTGGGTTATATAATCCTATAATAAACTAGGATCAGTACGGAGATAAATAAGTATCTAAAACCTCCTCGGCGCGAGACTCTTAATTTGCATGCAACAAAACTTGTAACCTTTGGTAATTTCTCTTGGGAAGGAGGAGGTCAGTGTTTGGAAGAAGATGCAAAGGGGGCGGGGGGAGGGGCGGTTTGTCTGTGTATGCTATGTTTCCACAGCTTGTGATGTAACAAGGGCGTTACCATAATGAGTCAAGTTAAACTTTTTTTTCTTCCATTTGATTAATTTTAAGATTTCTTTCCAGCCAGACGTATGCTATCTAATGGAAAGTATTTCACGGTAACGAATATTGCTGGTGGTGGAGCTTGCATCCTAATCTGTCAGCTTATATATACTCATATATATGTGCAAAAGAAAATCCAAACGAAAATCCGAGAATTTTCTCATTACAGGTAAGAAAGCCTCTAAGTTACTTATTTCCTAACATATTTTGAAAAACTCCCATCCAAATAAATAAGAATTTTAGAAAGAACAATTGAAATTGCGGTTTTCTCAATATCCCTGCCATTGTCTACTGGGTTTGGTTCTGCTTCCTTCATTATAGATATAGCTCATAGAAGAAAAAATTTTGAAATTGTTTTTACTTTTAAACTTCGTCCATTTGTCAGCTTTGTCTTGTCGGTTAAATTTATCATTGTAGAGGTGCTTTCACAGTATTATCAAAGCATAGAAAAGCAATGGATTTTTTGGGACTACCACTTACTGTGGGAGAAGTTGATTTGGTGGACAGGAAAAGGAATTATATCGATGGACGGATGTCTCAGGTATCCTTAAACTAATAAAAGGCCTTTATTATATTTTCCCACAACGGGGAGCCGAACCAAAATGAATTTGACAGTTGACTTGAACGAACAGAAACAATTCACTTCATTTATTCGATTTCTTTCGTGTAATGAAATATTGCATATATTCAATCTAAAGATGGTGCAAAACATGAACTCACTATAATGTAATTTCAAGTAATCTGTTTCACTACCAGCTCATATTGCTTCAGTTGCGAATCCCGATTTGTGGAGAACGTGACGGTGGAATAATGGTAGTTCGAGCGGAACGTGATGAAGATGGTGAGGACTTTGAAACGGCGCAAATTGAACTCGAGCTCGATGAAGCAGGTCATAATATTGTCATTTATGATAATGGGAGGTGGTCTGGAAGCTTAGTCCTTCTAGACAATTCCACCGATATCTGTTCTATTTTACCCTCTAATCAATTTTGTTGTCATTTTAAGAGTTGAATGACTTGTCCATTTCAATTTTATTTTTGAAATTCTTTGAATCTTTTTCGATCTTAATACTTGGGGTGGACGAACCACTTTATTAAACTATATTCTAGATTTCAGGCTAAAACTTGTTGGAAGCATAAAGTAAAGTTGATCTTAATCTGGTTTATGAGTTACCAAAATTTGTGAATTAGATTCTGAATATTTTCCTTTTAGAATAATACTAATTTCTTTTTTCAGTAGCCTTGCATTCAGAACTGTTTTTCAGTCATTTTTGTCCGCTTGGAGTGATAGTGTAAATAAAGTAAATGTCTTTGCTCATTTTTCTATATTTTGGCTTAATGCAGCAGTGGCTAAAATGTTGTCGCAGAGAGTTTCTGCTTTTTAAATTTAGTTGGTTATTTTGTTTGGTGAATCCTTATCAAAACGTTAAATAAAGTGCTTCAAAAGTAAACAGACTTGTTATTTCTTGGAAATTCCACGGAAGCTGTTGTAAATTGAATATAAGTTGGTCTTCAAAATTTCTAAGCAAGACATGGTTTCGATCAGTTCTACTTTATTACTATGAATGTTTGAGAGAGGATTGAAGTGGTTCTTATTCCGAAGAGCTTAAAATCTGAAGTTCCGCGGATGGGAAGTCCTGCCCGTGAAAGCACTGAGAAAGATACACGATATTATATTCCTGAGAAAATAAAGTACGTATTTCCTGATATCTCTTACTCTTGTGACAGCCGGTTTTCTAGCAGTAAGTGTACTCTAAACTCAATGATAATAAATCCCACCTTTATCTAGATAAATGGTTGTGGTTTGCAGTTCCATAAACAAAAAAGTACGTATTAGTTTGTGTAGAGGTAGAATTTTGCATGTTGGAAGTTGAAGCTATTTCGAAAGGTAAGGCAAAATTGGCTGTGTTTTATATAAGCTCTGGCTGAAATATTGGAGGGTTTAAAGCGTCAAAACCTTATAGCTAAGTTGTTGGCTTCCTTGCAGTGATCCTTTTCGTTGGGTTTTGAATGATTGCTAAAAATGTTTGCCGTTTTCTAACGTGTATTTCCGGTGAAATGAATGGTATGATAGCAACTGAACGCATAAACTGTTTAGTTTTACCGAAAAGTAACACTTCCCTGCTGATGGTATAATTTGTTCAAAGTACTTCCATGACTTACATGTATTCTGTTATATTCAGTGGTTCTACTATGGTTACAACAAAAAAGTTTCCAGTATCTTGGTACGTGTATTGCAGTGTACTGAAATAGAAGATAAATTTTTTATTCCATACACATTTTCTTATCAAAAGATGTACACTGTAGCTTTTTTTTTTTTTTGAATAGATATAGAGTTTAGGAAACGAAATTCAAGTGCGTCTTGTTTGTTGAGTGGTCACTATGTAGTTTACACCACATTGTATTTTTTAAATCTTCTGTAGATTTTATTGGGAATGAGAACTGGTTAACGTGATCATCTTAGAAATATTTTCTTAAACAGCGTTGCAGGTTTCGTTCTATTCTCAGAAAATGTGCAATTGTCATTGTATCTTTCCTTCACATTCATAGGTTTTGCAATGCTTACTACATATATGAGCATACATTTCTAAGTGTACCTATGAGGAGGCATTTATAATTGTATTTTTGGATGATGCTCAGTAATAAAACTATATCCTGATTTAATTTTTCAGTGATCTCATCTTTGTTATCTCTGTTTATGTTTGTATTTTAATCTTTCAGGAACAAATAATTTTTGAAA